TGTGCAGGGTGGGAGGGGGAATGGGAGAGAAAAGCAATTAAAAAGAGAGAGGGAGATTTCTAAATTATTAACATTTTCTAAATAATTAACGTTATTGGTGCCTCTGTGTGAGCCTGCAGATAAACTGCGCTTTGTCCTGGCACTAATAATTTATAGCCCAACGAGAGGCCTGTGGTGTGGAGCTGATCCAAAACACACTGAAGTTTTGTCTTGTCAACGTTGCACAAGAAAGCCCTGTCTGTGCAGCCTCCCCTTCTCCTCCCGCCTACCCCAAAACCTCAGAATTGGACCCCGCCCCCAGAAATGCCGAGGAAAGAGCTCCTTCAGTATTTTTAAAAACGTCAGGCTTTTTACTGCAGCGAGCTGCTCTGGAGATGCAAAAACTGTGGCAGCTGCTCTGGGGAATGTGCTGTGCCGGGAAAGGGGGGGGGGGTTGTTCTGTGTGTCCGATGCTCAATTTGTGCCCAAGGGACTTGGCCTTACATGTTGGCCGGTTGTGAGTCTGTGTAATGAGCCTGGGTACATGCATGGAGGTGCATGATGCCTATGAGTTTATGTATCGTGCCAGTGCACAGGCATATGACGGGCATGAGTTTGTGAGCTGCACCTGTGTGTGTGCTGTGGACATGTTGTGGCTGTACATGGGTTATTTCCGCTGTACCTACATGTCGGTGCATGGTTTGTGTCCCTCAAGTGTGTGTGCTTGTGCATGTGACACCTTTGTGTAGCATATGTTGCCTATTGTGCTTGTGTGAATACTGGGTGGCTACGTCTACACTGGCCACAATTTCCGGAAAAGGGATGCAAATCAGGTAAGTCAGGATAGGGAACTCCGCGGGGGATTTAAATATCCCCCACGGATTTAAATAAACATGTCCGCCGCTTTTTTTCCGGCTTGGGGAAAAGCCGGAAAAAAAGCGTCTAGACTGGCGCGATCCTCCGGAATAAAGCCCTTTTCCGGAGGATCTCTTTTTCCTACTTCGAAGGGCTTTATTCCGCAGGATCGCGCCAGTCTAGCGGCGGACATGTTTATTTAAATCCGTGGGGGATATTTAAATCCCCCGCGGATTTCCCTATCCTGACTTACCTGATTTGCATCCCTTTTCCGGAAATTGTGGCCAGTGTAAACGTAGCCGGTATGTGCAATTTTTGCGTGTTGCGCCTGGGTGTAAGCGTATATTGGGCCTCTATTATCCTTGTGAATACTGTGTTTGTGCCTGTCAAATCTATGTGCTATTGTGTATGGTGCCAGTGCACACTCGCTGTGCATGGCGTGCGGGTGTGTATCTGTACTATGTAAGTGTACTATGCGTGCACTGTGCTTGTTGGCATTGTGCCTCTGTGGAGATGTGTTGTATGTCTCTGCACAGCGCCTCTGTGCGTGTTGTGGGTGTGCTGCGCTCACACGCATAGCGTGCCCGAGAAGGTGCGTGCCATGCCGTGCCTGTGAAAAGGGCTTTATTCCGGAGGATCGCGCCAGTCTAGACGCTTTTTTTCCGGCTTTTCCCCAAGCCGGAAAAAAAGCGGCGGACATGTTTATTTAAATCCGTGGGGGATATTTAAATCCCCCGCGGATTTCCCTATCCTGACTTACCTGATTTGCATCCCTTTTCCGGAAATTGTGGCCAGTGTAAACGTAGCCGGTATGTGCAATTTTTGCGTGTTGCGCCTGGGTGTAAGCGTATATTGGGCCTCTATTATCCTTGTGAATACTGTGTTTGTGCCTGTCAAATCTATGTGCTATTGTGTATGGTGCCAGTGCACACTCGCTGTGCATGGCGTGCGGGTGTGTATCTGTACTATGTAAGTGTACTATGCGTGCACTGTGCTTGTTGGCATTGTGCCTCTGTGGAGATGTGTTGTATGTCTCTGCACAGCGCCTCTGTGCGTGTTGTGGGTGTGCTGCGCTCACACGCATAGCGTGCCCGAGAAGGTGCGTGCCATGCCGTGCCTGTGATGCTCAGCAAATCCTAACTCTACATTAAACAGGATCACCTTCCTGCCACCCAGAGAAGCAAATCAAATCACACGGAGAGTGGAAAGGGAAGGCAGCCTCTTTATTAACCTAACAAGCAGCCCTGGGGATTTACTCCAGATTGGAGATTCTCCTTCAAGTCTTCATCAGATGCTTTGCTGATGCTGCTCTGCTTCTCTTCCCCCCCTCCCTCCACCCTTCCCCCCCCTTTCTTTCTGTGGTTAATCCATGCCAGATACAGTTTGGCAGCTGAAGGCTTTGCATAGAGAGAGGTGCAGAGGAAAAGAGTTGGATCTTGTGTCATGTAATTTCTATTTCCCAGCGACACCTTCGCCTTCCATGCTCAGACAGTTGTCAAACTCTCTAACAATCCCTCCTGCTCCAAGCCAGCTCAGTAACAACCCTCTCCCCAAAGATTCACCCAGGACACCCCCTCACTCACCTGCCTTTGCATCAGAAACAGGAAAGGGCACATGCACAGTGAATGGCTCTGTTTTGGCCACAGCCAGTCCTGTGGCAGCATGTCACACGTGCACGAGAGAAGGGAAAGTGCACATACAGACCGACACGTGTACAACACGCCTTGGTTCTCACGGTGACCCAATTTCCCACTGGCTGCGTTGCTAACAAACTAGTGCCCCCTACAGGTGATGCTCATGATCTCTTGAGCACCATGTGATTGGTTCTAGGTCCAGCTCCCCAAGTCTTTTATTTTTATTGTTTAATTAAAGCACAAATCATAGGACCAGAACACAACCCCCTCCCCACCCCCCATCCTAGAGAAGCCGCAATATCCTCAGGCTAATGATGCAGAAGCAGCAAGACACAAACACCTGTTCAGAACTGGGGGTTGCTTTTAAGGGCTGGGTTATTTTTTATTTTGCCCAGATGTGGCTGCACTCATGCAAACCCAGCCACAGGCAGGGGCTGCTCCAGCCTGGTTACTTCCAGCCCCACCCTGGGAGTCGGCAGCCTCGCGCAGTTCCAGAAGTGGCAGACCCTTCTCCTGGATGCTGCATCTGACCCCACGCGTGGCTGCTGACACCCAGCCTGCGTGGGCTGGGAGCTGGCAGCCCTGCAGGGCAGGAGTAGCCCTTCACCCATGGGTGGGCCGCAGGCAGGGGGGCTACTCCCAGGAAACAGTTAACCGTTACCTAGTAAGTATCACCCATTAAGGGTGGCACTTACTGAGTAACCAGCTAACGGGTTACCCATTCACATCCCTAGTCTACACCAACACAACACACTTCCTCCATGGGTGCAGCATCAACGTCACCTGGGTTTGTTTCTTCCATGCAAAAAGACACTGGTGTAGCTGAAGCCGAGGAGAATTAAACAAGCATGGGGAGGAAGAATCGTGGCTTCCCCATAACACCCAACACTGCTTTCGATAGCTCACCTATCCTGCTTTGTTGCTGTTGTCCCACGACTGCCAGGAAATCAGTGTCTGATTTCTCGTGACTGCCAGGAAATCAGTGGCAAAGCTCGGAGGGACACACACACCATGAGCATGCTGGGCACAAGAGAGAGCGCTCCCTTTCGGCAACTAGGTCTCCCACGACTCTGCCCACAGCAGATCTGGTTCCAGCCAACCTATCTTCAGAATAATGGAGTTGCAGCAGAAATGAATCTGTCTGTCCCCAGAAACCCACTTCCCACTGGCTCATGCCTTCTCTTGCAGAATAGCTTCCATTGCACCTTTTCTGCGTGGCGCTTTTCTCATTGCTAAAAACACAGTGAATTTAACCCTTATCAGGTTGCAGGTCATAAACCCCAGCTACTGCCAGATCCACTGAAGGCAGGTGTAGGAATTTCCCTGCACTGCCAATGCATTTCAACGACAGCCTGCAACACTTCATGCTACTCCAGCGCTGGATCCTCTCCCAGGACTGCCGCTGTACATCAGCGACCATGCCCCCCCCGCCCCGTTCAGTCCCAGCCCTAAGTCTCTGTTCAGCCTGCCAACCTTATGACCAAGTCACACCTGCACTGAGGAGTCTGAATATTTGGGTCAACAGTCTCCAAAACAAAGCGAAAGGAGAGAAGACCCTGAGCTTCCAAAAAGCCTCTAGATCAGCTGCAATCACAAGCTAATTGTTCTAAGCCTCACAGCAGCAGCAAAGCTCACCACAGATCCACTCCATCCTCGCCACTAGGTGTTGTTACAGCCCATGACCGTTGCTAAATGAAGTACCAGTGATTGCACGGAGCTAGTGAAACACATTACAGATCCAGCCTCTTCATCCACCCCCCGCCCCGTAAGCCCGTACCACCATGGCTGGGGACTGCCATGCTGTTGGCCAGCTGGTAGAGGCGCTGCTGCTGCTGCTCCTCAAAGGTTCCGTGTTCATTCAGAGCTGACATCATCCGTCTGTAGTGTTCCTCCGGTGTCATCTGAGTCACCGAGTCCTCGAGCACAGGCGTGTGGGAATTTTCTGAAGAGCAGAAGAGGGTTTTTTTGTTAAAAAAAAAAAAAAAGAATGAAAGAGATGGAAGAAATCACATTCATGCAGGCAGAGTAGAGAGCAAAAGTCGAGTGACATCCTTCCTCACACACTACACCACACTGGTATGTGAACCTGATACACCAAACCTCCACAATCAGCACCTCCCCCTGACACAAATGCATATGCACCCCATCCTCCTCCCCCTGCAAATGCATGCACACATCCCCTCAACACACAAAATCTGCAGACCGACCCCCCTTCCTAACACACACACGTACTCTTAGCACAATACATTTCAAATTCAGCATACAAACACACTTTTTGGAAGCCAAAAGCGTTACATTATAATCAAATTAAATTACAAGTAAACTTTTATCTAATGGGGGAAGGTTAGATGCTGCCACAAAACATGATGAGAGCTTTACTGATTCTCACCCACTCCCCTCGGGGGATGCTAGTTCTCTTTACAACTAACGCCCAGACAGACATGGACTGCCTTTTTTTTCAACCCTACCATTTGGAACATGCTTGGAGGAGGAGGCTACAGAGAGGGGTAACATGATCCATCACTACAGAGACACTCAACTGCCAGCTGATGAGTTTGAGAACTGCGGTACGGTACAGACAGCAAGCCACCCGTTCTGCGAGGAACAGCGCTGACAACCCATCCACTCAGCTATCAAAAGGGAAGCCAGAGAAACAGACTCTATAGGTACTTGTACTGCAGAACACTCCAGTCCTTACGGTTTTTATCTTCACAATGCTGCTATGAGGCAGACAAGGAGAACAGAGCACAGGGCAGAGCAAGGGGTGTATCAATGGTCACAACAAGAATGTGTGTGTGAATTGGGAACTGAATCCAAGTCTATAAAGTCTGGGTCTCGTGCTCTCCCAATAATTCTACTCCTGAGAGAAGGTAAATGGTCATGTGGCTCGGGTGTCATACAGAGACTCAGGACCTGAGTTCCTTTGCTACAGTCTCACTATATGACCTCAACCGAGTCACTTACTCTGACGCTGTGCCACAGTTTCCTTAGTTGTGAAGTGGAGTTCTTAAGTCTTATCGACCTCTCAGGAGCACTGGAAAGGTATATTCATTAACATCTGATACAATAGCTATAAGGGAGATCAGGCCCTCACATTGTCTTGGCTATTTGCAAGCAAGGAGCAGCGATTATCACAATCAGAATTTTGCACCATGACCTACACCTCAAGACCAATGGTGGAAGTAACTTAAAATTTCTTACAGGTACTGTCCTATTGCAACCCGGGTCCCTGCCAGCTCTGTAAATAGCTTTTGCCGCAGCTCAGCCAGCTCATGACAGAGCTGCGCACCATGGTGCACCTGCTTACTTTCCCCTCTGCTCAAGACAATGGTTGTTGTGAAGAGACAGAGGACAACTCCACGGATTCCCTTGTTAGCTTGAGTCGCTGAACAAGAATCATTTTACTTGGGTAACAAACACATGATTCTAACCTGAACCCTGAAATCAACTTGACTCCTGCGCCTCTTCACCTGGCCCCCCAGCAGAGATACAAGGGGGAAAAAAAAACCACAAACAAAAAAAACCCCATCCACCCTGACCTGAAATAACTTACAGTACTGACTCTCCTCCCATTACTCACAGGTGCAGTACCAACGTCTCCCACACAGCAAGTAAGGCTAGTGATGTAATACCGTAGTCGATTAACTGATTAACCGATAAGCAAAAACTTATAGGTTAATGCTATAGACTACATGCATTTTCCCTCTCCCCCTCACCAGTTAATTTTTTAGCAGGCTGGCCAACAGCCTGTCTCAGTCCTGCCTTGCAGTGGATCCAAGACCTATTCCCATTGCGGCTCTGCATTTAAAGTGTTATTAGGAGGCAGGTGGGCAAACAGCCTGGCTCAGTTCTGGGTCACACTGAGTCCAGGAGCTCAGACCACCCCGCAACAGGGGCTGCTGCCACCCCTGTATCAGAGGCAGCAGCGTGGGGTGACAGGGAGCCAGTCCATGAGGGGAGAACTTTTTTTTAAACTGGCTCCTCTTGTGGACCAGCTCCCGCCTGGTACCCCACACTACTTCCTCGGATACAGAGGCAGCAGTGTGGAGTGGTAGGGGGCTCCTTGGGAATGAAGCCGGAGCGCAGTGACTCCCGGACCCACACCCAGGGACTACAGAATAGTTGAGTAACCGATAAGAATTCACGAGGTTACTCGACTATTCAATGAACCGATATTTAACATCCCTAAGCTGGGCAAGCTCTGCTTTCTCCCATTGAACCCACCGGGAATGCATAGATCTGGAGGCAAAATTAGATTCTGTGACTGAGCATGTACCCCCCTGTCTCCACCTTCACCAAGCCTTGTTCTCTGGCATGGAGCTGACTCCCCTTCAGAAGGTCCCGCCCGCTCCCTGGGCAATAGGGACCCCACACTAGCAACTAAGGGAGATAAAACTGGGAGCAGCTTTTGTTATTGTAAGCAGAACTCAGTGTAATTATTACCACACTGGCCTTGCCTTGGCAGGGGCTGCTCTTTATTTTATCTTGGATCATCCCCACAGGCAAAACCTTTTCATTACTCAGAGAGGAACTCCCAGGGGGGGGGGGGAGGAGAGCTCCGGCCCATCACGTAGCTTCACTAGAATGCCAGCATGGTGACTGTATTACAGAGCAGCATGTTAATAGAACCGTTGTGTGCACGCCCTGAGCTCTTTCTCCTTCAGCCGTTCACTCCCCGTCGCCAAGTCTGAGCCCTTCAGGCCTCCCTGACAGACAGCGCTGCCATGTTGGCTCTCATTCCAAGATGGCAGCAATGAGACAGATTCCAGTCGCTTGACACTAGTGCTCTGACTCACATGCTAAGACGGATGTGCCAGTGTCCAATACTTGGCTGTGACAAGAGCTGTGTACACACCTCTCGGCCAAGCAAGGGGTCTCCTGGTCTGGGTATTCAGAAAGGGGAACAAGTGGCACTGAAGAAGCAGCATGCTACAATAGAGAGGATACGGAACTAGGACTGAGGAGACTTGGGTCTAATCCCAGTTCTGCCATTGTTCAGCTGTGCAAGTTCAGACATGTGGCTTCACCACTCCTTCCTTGTCTATTGTTTGCCTGTCCTCTCTATTCAGGATGTAGGATCTTTGGGGGCAGGGCTCCTCTGCCCCATGTTTGTAGAGCTCCTGACCTCAACTAGGATGCAACTGTCATAGCCAATCAGAAACACTGCATCACCTCCTCCAAAACCCCAAGAGAATGAAGCCGAAAAGCTTATACTAACTTGGGTTTCCACCCTCCGAACCCCACCTTAATTTACAAGGCTCCTTTCTTTTGGGGGAGATAAAGCCCAGAGAAAGGGCAAGTGTCTTCTGTCCTGTCTTGCGGGGGTCAACACCAAAGCCCCGTTCCCATTCTCACCCAGCACAGCACTTTGCAACCAGAGCTACAAACTGCAGCCGCTAAACTCCAACCCAGTGAAATGTGTGCACATCTCGAGGGCCGGGGACTTCCTGTGAAATTCACAGGTCCAAAGCCCAAGTCGAGCTGCTCAGTGCCAGGAGTTGGACACACACACGCCTTCAACAGAGTGCATCTGCCTCTCAGTCCTATTGACCCAAAAGAGGAGTCGTGGATTATTAAAGCAACCGGGCCAACTGCTTGTGCAGCAGGTGGTTGGTGCTTTCAGGAAGGAGCAAAGGGATTGGAATTCCCCTCCAGATCGCCTCCGCCTTCCCCCCTCTCCTAGCTGACAAGACTGCCCACAGTCTCCTGCCTTCCTGGCACCTCTCCTCCCCAGAAAGCCCAAAGAGGCATCCACCGTCTCTGCTCCATTCTGATGCTCTTAACTGGAGCTTTGAGAAAAGCCACAAGACACGGACCCCAACTGCGGAAAATCACAGAGGTTTCTTCATAGCCGTGCCAGCAAGGGTGGGAGGTAGGGGGGGGATAATGACACTTAATTACCAGAAATTCTATCCGATCAGCCCCAGAGCAGATTTCAGGTGCAAAGTGGGGGTGGGGGGGGGCAAGAAAAGCTGGATTTCCACACTTATCGTTGGAGATTTCACATGACTCAGCCAGTGATAATTCCAGCTCCGCGGCAGCTTTGCTGTCTGCTTTTGTCATTACCAGGGGGTAATGCGGGAGACTGATCTTGTCAAATCTCCTCCAGCCGCCAGGTGTGAAAGGGACGCCAGTGTGGAGGCTCAGAAGCCAGGGCCTAGACAGACATCTGCTTGTGTCTCTGCTGCTCTCCTGGCCAACCCCCCAGCCACGGGCTCCGGGTGCGCAAGTGTGAGTGCGTCTCTCTCTCCATCATTCACTGTGTCAACACCGCGACAGCGTCATAACCTTTGGTGCCCGCCAGAACGTCAGCTACAATAACCAGACCTTCAGAGCGGGCAGGCTCGCCGCTCCACACAGCTCTGTGACGCAGGCTCCAATTCCCTTCCGTCCCCCCCCTGCTGACAGCCTCCCTGCAGGAGGGACACTCTGGGGCTTCAAAAGCCTTTGCTTGAATCATAGAATCATAGAACCATAGAGCTGGAAGAGACCTCAGAAGGTCATCACGTCCAGCCCCCTGCTCTAGGCAGGACCAATCCCAACTAAATCAACCTGGCCAGGGCTTTGTCAAGCCGAGACTTAAACACCGCTAGGGATGGAGACTCCACTACTTCCCTAGATAACCCATCCCAGTGCTTCACCACCCTCCTAGTGAAATAGTTTTTCCTAATATCCAACCTGGACCTCTCCCACCACAACTTGAGACCACTGCTCCTTGTTCTGCCATCTGTCACTACTGAGAACAGCCTCTCTCCATCCTCGTTGGAACCTCCCTTCAGGAAGTTGAAGGCTGCGATCAAATCCCCCCTCACTCTTCGCTTCTGCAGACTAAACGGACCCAACTCCCTCAGCCTCTTCTTATACGTCATATGCTCCAGCCCCCTAATAATTTTGGTTGCCCTCCGCTGGACCCTCTCTAATGCGACCACATCCTTTTTGTAG